AGGAAGTACTTTTGTTGCACACCCGGATATGGTGCTGCCTGTGTTGACCCTGATACAAAGTGCCCCACCAACGCCAAGGTCAACATCCAAGCCGTCGCTGCCCGCCCTAAGATGCAAGGGGGGGAATTAAGTCACCCCCTAGGCCGTCTTTTCGGGGCTCAAAAAAAAATAAGACCCGGCCTCACTATATGAGAAACACGGTATTTGCAGCTAGGCAGTGAAATTTATTTTGTTTAAGCTAATGCTCTTTTAAACAAGCTATTTTTCTAGACTCTTTAATTTGGAATACTCCAATCAAATAAAGAAAAGGTAGGTATTCTAATATTTCTGTTGAATAAATAAAGAAGGGCCCCTGCCATAGACAACTGTAATTGTTTTTAAAAAGGTTGGGGGGAAGTAATAGAATTGTGGAAAAATAGTTTTAAAACTAAATAAATCATACCATAGGTATTTTGATTTTAAAATATAAGTGTAAGTTATCTAAAAAACTGCAGTTGTTGCACAAAAAATTCAAAGTACACCACCATGAAAAATAATGTAGTAGAAATGCTATCAAACTATTGGTTTTTTAAAGATTCTATAAGATTCAGATATCCTTTCAGTTTTGTCTCAAGAATGAATATAGATTCATTTTTGAGATGAAAATTATATTCCTGAATTATTTAAACTACCCACATATTTGAAATATGTGGCATTTTTCTTTCATTTTCAACTGTTTATTTATTTTGAATAATTTGAACTTCCAATTTATACATCAAATCCATTATTGCTGAATAGTGACCTTAAGACACCTTCATTCATAAGTGGAATACACTATTTACTCCACAAAAAAGGACAATGATTAGGAGTATTACCAATATTAAAAAAGAGAATACACACTGTTCTCTGCATAAATAGTTCCTCCTAATATAACCAAATCAAACCAAATCTCTAGATTTGCACAACTGGGTTGGATTAAAAGTAAATATATTGCTCTATATGCATTGAATAATTGGGACTTAAAATACAAATTACTAAATTTGAAAATATTTCAGTAGCTTAACTTAAATTCAGTTCATCTGATCTAGATAACATTCATTTTGAAAATATCACATTCTGAATTCCAGAAAGTGAATATTAGACTATAATTGGAAAGATCCATGTTCAAATTTATCCTCAGCCATGCAAGCTTAACAGTTGATTCCCCAAGCTAGCTGTTAGCTACCATGAGTTTGTGGAGAAAAAGTATGATATACATAAAGCGTGATTCTCAGTTACTACACTGTATAAAGATGAGTGACAGTACCTTTGTTGTTAGTAAAATTAATACCCATAGACCAATGTTAGTAACAATATATCTTATACTAGCTTTCCATTAAACAAAAATATTGTGAAACAGAATCCCAACCTCCACATAAAATTTAGATTGGTCCTTTATTCTGCAAGTATCTTTAGATAGAGTTAATTTTTAAGATTTTTAAAGTAAAGATTATTTTTAAAAACCTGCAATTAAATAAAAATAAATAAATTGCACATACTATCAAATGTAGTAATAATCTTGTGATACAATTTTTGAAGGATTGGGATTTTTAATTTAGCTAAAATATACAAAATCTTAATTTCAAATTTGTATTAATTGAAGAGGAAATTCAAACTTACTACTTGCATAAGAGTGACTGTCATCCTCACACATTTTATTCAACTGTTGATACTCTTCTTGTGCTAGTTCAAATCGCTGCTGCTTAATTTGATAAATTTCCATTTTGGCATTAAGTGCTTCCTGAGCAACAATTAAATATTCCTTTAGCATGCGCTCCTGTTCTCTTCTCCATTGCTCTCTTGGGTCTTCAATTTGTGTGTGTTCTGATTAGAAAGAAAAAAGTATTCCAACATGTTAAATGAAAAAACACAGAGATGTACAAAATTCACATATTATAGCAAATAAATCACATTTTTATTTTTAAAAAAACCTAATGTCTAAAACTATACTGACATTTAACTTAAACTTTAAAAACTGTATTCTATCCAGTCTACTAAGACTTCAAAGAAATGTACTTTACAACCAAATTATTACAAGGTGTAATGCTAAATAGATAATGATCTGAATCAATCTAATAATTAGACATAATTTTATCACTGCTTCTGTAAACGTGCTCCATTTCTTCCCCTTTGGCTCAACTTGAAGATACTGGAATATTTGCATTATTTTGTAGCTACAGATAGTCATTGGCTAACAACTATTTGTTTAGTGACCATCAGAAGTTACAATGGCACTGGGAAAAGTGACATATGACCATTTTTCACACTCACGACCACTGCAACATTCCCATGGTCATGTGAACAAAATTTGGATGTTGGGCAACTGGTTCATATTTATGATGGTTGCTGTGTTCCAGGATCATGTGATCACCTTCAGTGACCTTCTGACAAGCAAAGACAATGGGAAGCCAGATTCACTTAACAACTGTGTTACTAATTTAACAACTGCAGTGATTCACTTAACATCTGTGGCAAGAAAGGTCATAAAATGGGACAAAACTCACTTAACAAATCTCTTGTTTAGCAACATAAATTTTGGGTCAATTGTGGTTGTAAGTCGAGACTACCTGTATAGTTTCTTATCCTGCCCTAACTGGAAAACATTGTTAATTTTAATTGTACCTGAACAAGCCAAGACAATGATTCTCAATTTGTCTTTTTCTTATAAATGACTATTACAAAGTAGTTTGGATGCAACAACAAACAGCAACTACAATTAGTCCCTTACTTACAACTGAAAAGGGACCCCAAACTCTCATCACAATTGTTGAGATTGTAATTCAAGTCAAATTTTATGATTATTTTTATGGTGGTAATTAAGCAAATCACAGAAATTATACACATCACACGGTTGTTAAGCAAATCATATAGTCTTTAAGTGAATCCTGTTTCCCCAATGATATATTTTTGCCAGAAATCAACATAATTATAGGACGCTGCAATTGGTCTCAGGTACAAGCCAGTTGATAAGCACCTGAACTGTGATCATATGATTACAGGGTGTTATGACGGTTGTAAGTGCGAGTATAGATCGTAAGTTTCTTTTTCCAAGGCAATAAGTAACTTTGAACTATCATTAAACGAATGGTCATAATTCAAGGATTACTTATATTTGAAAACTGAACAGGATGTCTCATGATCAAGTAGAAGTTAGAATAGGGATTGTATAAAATTTCAGTTACTGATTTGTTCAAGGCCTACACTGACCTTTAAAGTTGAATTAGAACTTTCCATAGCAAGAACTAGAAAGTAAGTTGAAGTAACTTTCCACAGCAATATTCATTTCATTAATGCATAAAATGTGAAAAAGTCCATCTTTTTCAAATGTTTAAGTGGCAAACAGTAAGGAATACTGATCAAATTCCCGGCAATTTGTTGGTTTTTGGCTCAGATTGCTGGCCTATTCATAACAGGGTATAACAATTATAGTTTATGAACCATAATTGGAAGGAGACAGCTTTAGAATTAAACTTTTTAAACAAAAGTATTATGAAGAAAAGGAAACAAAACTGTCAACACATTCATCAGTCAGACCTGGAGTTCAGATTAATCCTGATACCAATCCTCAATGACAAGAGGAGAAAGGATGCACTTTAATTCCTCTTACATCTTTAACAAACATTTTAGTGTTAATGTGGCTATTTAAAAGTTAGGAAAAATAGTATATTTGGGTTTATAGGCTAATTATATAAATGTAAAGGCAAGATTTCAGGAAAAAATCTCAATCTGAGCAATGTTTCTAAAAAGTTTCCTGTGGTCATTACATCATATGAAACACTGAGCGCCCAGAAAATACACAAAGGATGAACACATTAGTATTTTACATGCTGTTGCTGAATCCAAAGCCAGGGAGTGTCTAACTAGCCTAGTAACCCTTAGATAGTTTTGAACTTTTATCTTTTTTTGGCACCAGCCATTTTAGCAAACAAAAATAGAATGTTCTAATTCAAAGTATCTGTAGGATTTGAGGATGCCCGCTTCTGCCACATGATAATTTAAAGGTATAGCTGTGCTTGAAATTTTTTTTTTTAAAAAGCATTTAAAGTTCCTTCAAAGCCAGCCAAATATTTCCACATCGACTTTTCTATACAAAAAGTTAATTTTTAGTTTAATTAATTATTGGTAACTATAACCTGGTTATTGTTATCTAGGAAATGCTATACCCAACCTCCCTACCTCCTCACCTCCCTAAAGAAAACACTATACTGTAGTGACATCCCTAGAAAGAGACCCAAACATCACCATCCTGCCAGCTGACAAAGGAAGAACACAGATGTCTACAAGGCCAAAGTGAACAGTTTTCTGAAGGACACTGATGAATGAGACTCTGAAGAGAGATCCCACCAGCAGTTACAAGAAAAAAGTCATTGATTTCCTGCAACAACTACTGAAGGACAATGCCATCAACAAGCCACAATACTATCACCTTTACCCTGGGCAAGCAACTCCATGCATATATGGATTTCCCAAAATCCACAAAGAGGGAATTCCACTCAGATCAACTCTCAGTATCATCAACTCTGTCACCTATAATGTTGCAGAACATCTAACCATCTTATTAGCGCCTCTTGTCGGCAATACCACCTATCACATCAACAATTCACAGGACTTCACCAGCAAGGTTTGGAAATTCAAAACTGGACTTGGATGAGACCATGGTTTCCTATGATGTGACTTCCCACTTCAGCTCCATTCCAACAACTAAAGCTGTCACAGTAGTGAACAAACAACTGCTGTAAGACAGCACCTTAGGTGATGGAACCAACGTCAGCCCAGACCACATATTTGCCATGCTGGACTTTTGCCTGACTACTACCTATTTTAAATACAATGAAGGTTTTTACAGACAAAAACATGGCTGCACCATGGGGTCACCTGTGTCCTCCATAGTGGGCCATCTCTACATGGAAGAGATAGAAACCAAAGCCCTAAACTCTTTCACAGGAATTCCATCCACTCACTGATACAGGAATGTGGATGATACTTGGATCAAAATCAAAACCCAGGAATTGGAAGCGTTCACCAAACATCAGCTCTGTGGACAGATATAACGAATTCACACAGGAAGATGTTAAGGAAAATTGTCTGGCCTTCCTAGATTGTGCAGTACACATTAAGGAAGACAGAAGCCTTAAGATTGAAGTTTACAGAAAACACCCACACAGAGATTAAGATTTACATTTTGATTTCCACCACCCACTGGAGCACAAAATGGGAGTTTTCAGAACCCTACACCACTGCCAGCAAAGATGGGAAAGAAAATGAACTAAAACATAATAATGAAACCTTCAGAACATGTGGCTATCCCAACTGGGCCTTTATCAAATCCCCCAAAAGAGCTCATCCATAACAAAAAAGGGAATAATAAACAAAGCAATACTGTCATTCCATATGTTGCAGGAATATCTGAAAAGCTCAGGAGGATTTTCAACCAATACAACTTTAAACCCAAGAATACACTAAGGCAGAAGAAACTTGTCCACCCCAAGGATAAAGCACCCAGACACAAACTGAGCAATATGGTATACGGAGTACAATGCAGTATGTGGAGTACAATGCAGTACATTGGGAAAACAAAACAATCACTTCACAACAGAGGGAGAGGGAGAGGGATGCAACATTACCTATCTCCTGTCTACAATACAGTCCTTTCAGCAGTTCCAAGAAGGCTCCACACACATTTGCACTACTCAGGTGATCCTGAGGACACAGATAAACCTCCAAGTGGCCACAACAAATCTCTAAAATAATGCAAACGACCAGCTATCTGCAAAGAATATAAATTTTTCCATTCTCCACCATCCAGTCAGAGCTGGAGAAGCTTATTGGATGAGAAGCGAAATATATTCAGAGAACAACAAGAAAATCCAGTTGCCTCTTGAAAAAGTACCTTTGGAATAATCATGACTGGATGACTGAGAATCTCCATAGACATGTACTACTATACTACTCTACCAAAATTACTTGGGTAATTGAGTAAGATCCAGGAATGGATCACTCATGATTGATAAAGGAAGGGTTAGGATTAGTCCTATTCTTTCAGTTTTAATCCTTCTTTTTCATCTCTTTTCATTGTCTTTTCTTCTGCTCTTTCCTATCTCTGCTGCCATTGTCCATCTGCCATTTAATCTAATTCGAAGGTAGCATCCTGGACTTTTCTACTATGGCTACCATCAATGGAAAGTCTCTAAAGATTTTTAAAAAGCAATATTAAATCCAAAATTTGACGGAAAAAATAATTTATATAAAATCCCAGATATTTGAGTATGTGCATTAGCACATATCAAGCTTGTTAATATTATTCAATAGTTCTATCTCCAATAAGTTATGACAGAAATCTTCAAACAAATTACACAAAAACAATCCTAAACCCATGAGAATTGTGCATATTTTTTCATATTGCAGGACAGCATCCACAATAGCAATAATTTTATAATTTTATTGTATCTTTCTCCCTTGCCCAACTCTGATTTGTCTATATATAAATGAATATTTAGGATCCAAGTTTTATATAACTGCATAACTTAAAATAAAAACAAAACTGGTTACTCACGATTTATGTGGTCCATGTAATAAACACCAATCTGTTGATCGTAAACAGTTTCCCATCCTAAAGGTAGTTCATCACCAACACAGTCAGCAAAAGTTAATGGCTTGGTAATCCTACAAATATTATAAAAAAATAATAAAAAGTTCAAACATGCTGCGTTTAATTATCGTTATAGTCGACTATAATGTAACTTGGATAAATTATGATTAAGGACATGACTTTTTAATGCCAAAACTTTTAACATATGATAAAGAAAATCAATCTCAAGTAGGAACATTTTAAGAAAGGCAAGAGTAACACATTTTACTTTCAGATATGAACTTTACAATTTATTTATAATGTTACGTAATTTTTTTCTCAACGGAAGTTGTATGAGCGTCATCATGTGAGACTTTCAAGAAGAGATTGGACTGCCATTTGTCAGAAATGGTGTAGGGTCTCCTGCCTGGGTGGAGGGTTGGATGTAGATGAACTACAAGGTCCCTTACAACTCTAATTATCTGTTATTCTTTTTCACTCCTTTGCTTGTAGAACTAGTTCCCAGAAAGTAGAAATATTTTGAACTCTTTGAATATTTTAGATTGTGTGCTTAAAGTCCCAAACAGCTTCAAACCTAAAATAGCACCTTTATGACTGTTGACATGACATATATGATTAACAGAACTGTTACTTTTCAGATATATTAGTGGGGGAAACAAATGCAGTTTAATATTAAACATTCAGTATTACATTTAAACTAGAAACTAAAACCTCACTACTGAAATCGCCACATGGTAATAGAAATGACTGCACCAAATATACAAGCATACTCAGATATATTGCCACTGATTTAGAAGGCAGACAGTATCTTATTATTACACTCTTATCTTTAGCTCTCATAAACACACACACAAAAAGAAATGATAAAAGAGTGTATATATTTGTGTTACAAAAAATACCTTATTAAACTTTTTGTTTTGAAACAAGGAGAAAGGAAGCAAGGGCAGTCTTTCATAGCATTTGCCTACTAGCACTTCAAAGTTTATCTGAAAGCTTACATTTCAACTGGAGAAATGTGATTCAGAACACATGTGAGTACACATATAGCCCCTGTTGGAAATACCTTTAAAATGTGTCATTCCCAGTCATAGCTGCTTAACTACAGGAAAAGTCACAGTTGCTTTAAAGTGTTTCTGACACATACTACATTCATGCCTCTGCATGAGCCAAATCACATCTATCCTTTTGAATCTAAACGGGTAATCTTGGTTTCATCCAATTCCTGGTTCACTTGTTGTCCATATACTTCTCTCAACTACTCTCCATATACTTCTCTCAACAAACATATTTTTCAGATTTTCCTGATTTTGCTTTTTTCTTCACAATATTTAAATCTTGCTTTGTTCTTATCACGATCCACATTGTTGCTCTTAGCTACTTTTGCTTGTTCTGTTTTTAGTCGGGTTCAATAAGACTTTGATCGTTCACTCACCACTTCTATCTTGTATCTCTGCTCTAATATTTGACATATAGAATGCATATTTTAATTCCATCTCTATATCTTGAACATTAGTTCCATTTCTATATCTTGAATAATCTGCTGTGTATTATTCAATCCCAATCATAATTTCTATTAACAATTAAAAAGAATCTATATACTGTATTATATCTGTAGGATAAATCATCTTGCAGGCGCTCCCTGTAAAATCTACTACATTTTATTTAGATACAAGATACAACTCAGGAAGCAATCTTTCCAGTCACTCATACAGCTTCCAGAAAAAAAGTGAAACTCCTTGCTGACAACTGGTGTATGTGTGTTGCATGTGTGTATACATACATACATATACATACACACAAACACATATCAGTTGTCAACATATACACACCCTACACCATCAGCAGCAAACACAGGCATTCATATATATTTTCAGCATAGAATTTATTTCATGTTCTGAAAGAGAAAGTGACTTAACTATTTTAAACTTGGAGAATATTACAATTTAGCATACTTCTTTCATAGAAGACCAACTGTACCAGCTAACAAAATAACCTTTAGGTCTTTCCTGATGTAGATAAACTCAGAAGAATATGCTGTTTGCTAGAATGATTTTGAAAAATCACTTTTAAACAAAGATTTGATTAGGAAGTTCTAAAGAAACTAAAATTAAAATGAACTATTTATAAAAATTATGACTTGGTAAAGCAAATAAAGCAACAACTCTGGGCATGTCTTCATTATGTTCTCTCATGAATATATGTATATATTATATACATATACATATACATATATATATGAATATATGTGTACACACACACACACACTGCTTACTTAAACCCAATCAAAACAGACCATTAAAACAATACCAGATTTTAAACTTTATATTGACTAAGCTCATAATTATAAAACTATCAATATTCCGTATTAAATTTTGAACGTGATCATAAAATGAAACATGGGTAAAGAATTTAAGTTGTTTCACAAAGTTCAGGGGAATTCAGACTATTGAAAAATAACACAGAGTGATGGTCTTCAAACTTGTTATTGCTCTTTACCTATATTGACATCACTGGATGTGTCCCCAATCTTTAAGAAGGTAAAGATAACTACAGGCCAGTCTGCTTAATATAACCAGCAAACATACTAACTGCCTCTATAATAATCAAAAGGAATAGATGAATCAGGGAATATTGAAAGCGGAAGAGGAGGTCAGTTTGAGAGAAGGTATAGGCCCCATTGAAGAATGTTAATTTTTTCACTACTGATTCTGTGGGCATGGCTTGGTGGGTGTGGCTAGGTGGGCATGGCCATGTGACTGGGTGGGTGTGGCTTTTTTACAGCCACCACCCCCCTTTTTGGGCCTTCTGGGTCTCAGAGGAGCCTCGGGGGGGGGCATTTTTGCTCCCAGAAGGCTCCTCTGGGGCTCAGGAAGAAAAAATCGGAGCCTGGAGGGGGCACACAGCACCCCTCCTGGCTCCATTTTGGGACCTTCCTGGCCTCAGAGGAGCCTCTAAGGGGGCATTTTTGCTCCCAGAAGGCTCCTCTGGGGCTCAGAAAGGCAAAAAATGGAGGGGGCTGAGCTCCTCTCTCCATTTTTTGCCTTCCTGGGCCTCAGCAAGGGGAATCCCGGCACAGCTGATCGTGTGTACAGCTGATTGTCGGGAGGGAAAAAAAGAAAGAAATATCTTAAGGGGCAAGCGTCAGGCGGATGGGGTGAGCAAGCATTGGGCGGGCGGGGCAAGCAAGCCAGCAGTGACCGGGCAACTGGGTCGGGGACGTGGCCAGCCAGAACTTTCTACTGGTTCAGCGACCCACGGCAAATCCTTGCTACTGGTTCTCCCAATGCAGTGTGAACTGGCTGAATACCACCACTGGCCCTACAGTACTTGATCAGAAAATATTCAAACAACAATGTGATATCATTGTACAGTACCTTCATAGATCTTAAGGCATCTTTGTATTCTGTATTCAAAACCAAAGTAAGGAAAAACCTGGAAGCCACATCAATAAACTGTAGGTGTCTCCACTTAATTCATGCTCCACACTCTAATATGATTCTTAAGGTCAGAGGCAATATGCAAAGGTTTCTTTCAAAGTCAGTTAAACTTGAAATAAGATAAAACAGCAATGTATTTTGTCCCACCCTTTCAATTTTTATATCAATGATATGATGAGATATCCAAACAATCTAAATTTCCAACTCCCTAAACTAGGGGATCACAGCATTGCCCTTTTGTTCTATGCAGACAACACCGTGGCTCTTTCCAGAACACCAAGAGACCTCAAAAGAGCTCTGAGAACTTTGGCCTGATACTGGAGCAATGATAATCTGCAAATCAGAAAACTAAGATTATGGCTTCTGTCAAAAAGCCAAAGCTCTGCTTATGGAACATAAAATAGAACAAGTGATTAGTTCTGATTATTTAGGAGCAGTCATGCATGCTACTGGCTTGAGAAAAGCCCACTGTAAATATGCTGCTGTTACTAGACAAAGATCTGCCAATGCCATCCTTAAATTTTTCCAGTCCAATGGAGGATATTAGATTCCAGCTGCACTTCAGCTCTTTCAGCAAAGTCCAATTGCCTTATGGGATTCTGGTTGGCCCTCAGCCTCGTTTCACTTCTCTGGAGAGGGTACAATCCAAATTTATCAGAGCCGATCTCAAGATATCACACTAGGTCTCAAATATACAATGAATCTCAAAACACAAACATACTTCTATGACTGGAGAAAAGTATGATATCAGTTGACTCCTGAGTGAATCTAAGTTTTATAAACTTTTGGTTAAAGCTCAACTGCTATCCTCAAAGATTAAAACCATTCAGGACAATTTTCAATCCACATGGGTCAAAGCTGTTGAAGTCTAGGCTACTTTCCCTCTTCAGTACTTAAGACGGAATATGATCAGCTGAAACAAACCCTGAAGCAAAGGTTAAAGAATATAGAGAGGCGAACAGTTTAGGGAAGGCCCTAGCTTTCCTGACACCAGTACTCAACAGATATATTGCATTGCTGCCAGCTACACCTGACACAACTAGAAACATGCAGTCATCGGTAAGCTTTCTCTCTTGCCCAATGCCATCTCCACCCTTCTGTAGCAGTGGACAGTAAATATTAAAAAAATACCATTGGCTGAAAGATTCTGCTTCTGATTCTGGAAAGTGGACACTATAGAACAGAGGTGTCAAACTCGCAGCCCGTGGGCCAGATGCGTCAAGTGCTGGCCCTGCCCCCATCTGGTTTAGCAAAGGGGGAAAAAAAATCCCAATACGTCACGTGACAATGCCATGACGACGCAAGTTTGACACCTCTGCTATAGAACATGTTCTTCCTTTCTTCTAGGTTTTGTGCAGCAGTACAGAGGATCTGTTAGACCCTGATGGTTCAATCTCTTGCAATGCATTCTTTGTAACTATAATTTATTTAAATTTTATAATAGATATTATTACTTTGTTGATATTTATAGTTTTAGATACTATTACTTTGTTGTAATTTTAGATGTTTTCATATTTAATTTTAGTGCTTACATTATAATTTAATATAAGCTGTATCCCTGACTTTACTTATAGATGTTAGATTGTTTTAAGTAAATTGTGGTATATATTATGGCCTACATATACTGCCTATATTAT